TGATTCTCCTGGGGTTTAGAGCCCTATAAAATGAAATGTTTTCAGCCATTGCCTCTTGATTCCCAACCTTGTCTTCCCTACCAAGAATCTCTACAAGAAGCCAAAGAAAAACACAGTAAGTTTTAGCCTATTTCAACCATTCATTCATTCTTCTCCTAGCTTCTTTGATTTCTAGCTTCCATCTCTGAGAACTTAGCTCTTAAGGCTTGTTGTATGGTTTGTTTGGGATGTTTAGGTGGTGAAGGGGGTTGTAGCTGACTTGGGAAGAAGGAGGAATCCGAACAAGAAGAAGAAGAAGTCTACAAAGGTATAACCCCATGGACTCCCACTTTAGTTTTTGGCTCTGTGAAGCCTTGTTTCTTAGGTATAAATGAGTAGAAATGATAGATTTTTGATGTGTTTGAGCTATGAGGTGATCTATTACTTGTCTATGTTGTGTTGTTAATGTTTTGGAGGTGTTGGAGTTGTCTGAGATTGATTGCATATGAAAATATATCATCTGGTGCACAGACAGTGTGAACCAGATGAAGTAACGGCCCTAGCCAACGGCCCAACAAGGGGATCGTTGGCTAGAGCCGTGGCCAGCCGGGCCTAGGTCCGGTAATCTAACGGCTTGAGGGGGCGGGTCATGCTGAGCCCCGCCCCATGGTCCCTGAGTTATCTCTGTGTGGTGGCCGGGCCCTTGTGGCTCAGCTACGTGTCGTTTCGGGCCAGGTGTCACGGGCCCTTGTGGCTCGGTACCTTGGGGCCGTCTTGACGCACGTTTTGGTTTTGATTTTGTTGAATTTGGATTAGAAATGAGCATGTTATGGTGGATTTTGTGATGAAATTGCTTCGTAGTAGTATGATTTGTGTTCACTGCCTTTGATAATTGTTGTGTGATATCTTCTTGATGCTATTTGTAAAATGAATAGAGAAGCATGATCACCTAGTGATGAAATTGCTTCACAGTAGTATTGTTTGAGTTCTCTGCCTTTGGAAATTTGCCTTGTTTTATTCCCCTGATGCTATGTGTGTATTGAATAGAGAAGCATGAACACTTGTGATTAAGAATTGTTAGAAAAGCATGACTAGAATGTGTTGTATGTTCAATGGAATTTTAGGACTATTTTGATGGTTGATATATACAGAGTTTGATATGTTGCAAACCAAACATGTTGTTGTGTTCTTGAGAGATCACTGTGATATTTAATTTGAAGCATGTTGTATAGTAAATTGCATTCCAAGTAAATCATGTTTTAAAAGTGCATAAGTGGCCAACGTGAGCCTAAGTATTATTTTCCAAAAATCTCATTCCACGTAGAGCATCTTTGTCTTATCTTTGAGAACGAATTGAGAAGTATGTGCATGTCTTTTGCATAAGTTAAGTGTTGCATATATGAGATGCATGAGTGATATATCTATATATATCTATGGTGAGGAAAGCCTTGTTTTGGAGGACCCGTTTGGACTACGTCCTCTTGGATGAATGTTATGGACATTGCGGTCCCAGTATATGTAACGCAGTGTATTCCCACGAATCCCACGTTACGAGGTTGGAAACTGTCCGCCAGGCTTGGAATCCTGGTCAGGGGGTGTGCACGCTAAAAGTTCGATACCTGATTCCACAGAGTTTGAGCATAGAACCAAGAGAGTGGTTCGGTGGACGAGATGAGTATTAGGCCGGCTAGTCATTGCGACTCTAAGAAAAGAAAGTAAGAAAGCGAGTCATTGTGACTCTAAGAAAAGAAAGAAAGCAAGCGAGTCCTTGTGGCTCTAAGAAACCTCCACGGAAAAGTATTCTATTTTACAAGTGAGTGTTGAGTATACTTATAGTATTGCACGAGATTGCATTTGAGTTTAGTATTGCACGAGATTGCATTTGAGTATAGTATTGCACGAGATTGCATAACGAGAATGCTTGCACTAGATTGCTTAATGAGAATGATTAACCGAGATTGTATATTGAGCATGATTGCTTTAGTTGCATTTTGATATCTTATATATCTAGTTTGCAAGATGTAATCTTGAAAGCATGAAGATAATTTCGTATTGGTTGTTAGTATGAAATTGATTGATATATAGCATGAGTTCGTTATGATGAGTTTTGTTCTGAGAAATATGTGTTGGAATATTCATGTTGATGAGTTATTTATATTTGAAGCATGCCTGATGATATTATAGGTTGCAAGAATATAGAAAGTCTGTGATGTATCTTAAAGTTGTCTAAGTGTCGAGGTTGCTTGATTAGAGTTTGGACAAAATACCAAATTGTACCATAAAAGCTAAGCCACATATTGAGAGTAGAATTAAAACTTTGAAAAAAGAATTAGGAATTATTCATGATATGGAGCAAGGTAAGAACACTAGTGGGTTCGGTTGGAATGAGCAAAAGCACATGGTGTATGCTGAATATGCAATTTGGGAATCATACTTAATTGTAAGTATTTACCTTTTTTGGTACTTTCATTTATTTTTATTATTGTATACATACAAAAAATTTATATAAGTTTATTATAGAGTCACAAAGAAGCTGCACCTTTTAGAACAAGAAGCTCTAGGTTTTATAATGAGTTATCTGTAATATATTCTAAAGATCGTGCAACTGGAAAAGATGCACAGTCAGCAGATGACGTAGTTGAAGAAATACAAGCTGAAGAACAGAATGATATAAGAGCTGACACGGAAGATAGTGCATTTGTTGGTTTGGATGATATTGATTTAACGAGTACACAACCTGAGCCACAAAATGATGGTAGAAAAAGAAGCAATTGAAGTAAGAGAAAGAGAAGTCATGATGAAGCTATTGAGATATGTGCTGAGAATATGCTTAATGCTGCGAAGCTAATAAGTAATACAATGTCAGAGGTTGGTAAGAATTTGTTCGATGGTATTCAATATGATCGTGATATGGATATGTTTCAAAAGCTTGAACGTGCATTAAAAGAGGTTGATGGTTTGACAAATGATGAAATGGACCTTGTTTCGTTTAAGATCACTGATCATCCTAATAAAGTAGCTTTTTTTCTCAGTCTTGATCCTGATCGAAGACTACAGTGGTTCAGAAGATTCCTTGCTATCAAATAATCATTCTTCTTCATAGTTATATTTTATGAACATTGTAACTTTCATTGACTATTTTGTTATTTATATGACTATTTTGTTTCATAATTTACAAATCATTATTTTAATATTATTGATAAGGAATAATGCTGATATGTTGATTACCAAGAAGTTGACTTGATGATGATGATATATTAATTAACTAGTTAATTATGGAATGATGATTAATTGATGCGTAGTAGTAGTAGTAGTAGTAGTAGTAGTAGTAGTACGCAGCAGCAGCAGGAGTAGCAGTAGTTGTAGCAGTAGTAGTAGCAGTAGTAGTATTAGTAGTAGTAGTAGTATTATTATTATTATTTTTTGTAGAAGGGCATTTATGTCTTTTAAACATATATTCTATTCCTATTCATTAACCAACCAAACATTGAAATACAGTTCCCAATGTCTATTCCATCAATAAACCAAACAACAGAAAATAATTTATATTCTATTCCTTACCTATTCCATTCCCTATGGAATAGCATTCTTATTCCCTCCAAATTGATTCCGTGAACCAAACGGGCCATTAATGCTGATATAGTTAATTAAAAAAAAAATTATAGTCATTCAACATTTTTATTTGCATTGTATCATTTACGATCAATGCCCATCCTCGTGGTACTTGATATAACCAACACATCGCATGTGATTTTACTTGATTAAAAAAAAAAAAAAAAAAAAAAAAAAACACTGACGTGGTTCACACCTTATTAGAACGTTAAAAACCATAGTTAATATTGAGTAATTAGCATGAAAAATATGTGTTATACAATAATATTATAGTTCAATCTCATGGTTGTGACAAAAAATGGAATCGTTCACCCCAAAATTGTGGAAAGGTAAATCACGGTGACTTAATTGATCAAGACTAGACACACTACCGCGGGCAAGACTTAATCATTGGTCTCTTCAGGGACGGACCTACTGTTGGAGGATACAAATACTTTGCAAAGCTTAGCAGGGGTTTTTCTGTCTTTTGATATAATAACGATTGTAACCGTTTTTCTTCCCTTCTTTGACTGTCTTCCTTGACTGCCCATTGACCTATATATGTTGAGGGCTTGTCTATGGATGTAAGAACAGAACAATGATGATCACTTTACCTTCTTCTCTTCAATTGCGAACTAAACCTCTTGGATCTAACCACATGTCATAACATAAGCTTAGCTACTGATTCCAACATGGTATCAGAGCGCAATCGCAGCTACGCCGCCGCCATAATAGGTGTGGACCGTGAAGCCGGCGACGAGAACCCTACCGGAAACACAGCAGGTGGTTCAACTCCGGCCAGTCAGGTCCATGCAAGCCAAAATTAGATACATCGAGTGGATGAAATTGACGATCCGATGTATCTACACGTCACGGAGAATCCAAATGTAGTACTGGTCTCACCTCCTCTGTCCGAGTCTAATTACGCTACGTGGAGTAGATCCATGGAGCTGGCGTTAGGAGTGAATAATAAGTATGGATTCGTGGACGGATCAATTCGAAATCCAGGTGAATCAGATCCAAAATTCTTCGCATGGAAGAGATCAAATGATATTGTGTGTTCGTGGATTTTGAGATCCCTAAACCCTACCATTGCTAAGAGTGTCCTGTACTTCGAGCTAGAAGAAGATATCTGGAACTCCTTGAGAAAGAGATATTCTCAAGCAGATTCCCACAAAATCGCAGAGATTCAAAATGAGATTTACAGAAATCTACAAGGTAACATGTCCATTAATGAGTTTTTTACTAAGTGCAATGCTCTCTGGGAGAAGTTGAATGCAGTGAGGCCTCTACCTGTGTGTGAGTGTGTGCCTAGATGTGCATGCACTCTCATGACTAAGATTCGAAGAGATAGGGAGGAAGATTAGGTCATTCGTTTTTTGGAAGGCTTAAATGATGATTTTGAAACCATTAAGTCAGGTGTGTTAGTCATGGACCCTCTTCCAACTATGGAAAAGGTTCTGAATATGACTCTGAAGTTAGAGAGGAAGATCAATAGTATTAATGCTCATAAGAACAATGAGGTTGTGCAAGCTAATTCTGTCCAGAATCTAGTAGCAGATGATGAAAATGTTGTAGCTATGACAAGCTCAAACAATAATAAGAAGTTTAGTAATGTAGGAGGTAAGAATGTGCCAAAATGTACATATTGTGGTATGAATGGCCATACCATAGATAAATGTTATAAGAAGCATGGCTTCCCTCCTGGATGGATACAAGGATACAAGACCAAAAACAGACAAAGCCAGGACACTCAGCAAAATGTTAACTCCTCCATTAGTCAGTCTGATGATATAGGATTGTCACTTGATCAGTTCAAGAAGCTTCTATCCCTTTTGCAAGGTCAGAATCAAGGAAATCAGGCTTCCACCAATGTTGCAGTGTCAATGACTGATACTGGAATGAGGCCTAACTTCAGTAAGGTGCCAGATAACTCTAGAGAAGGCAAGTGTTTCCCATTCCCTCACATTTATGCTGTGTTAAATTCTCCTACTGTATGGATCTTGGACTAAGGAGCTACTGACCATATCACATGCTCCTTAGATTATGTTGAAAACTGCCATCTTGTTGATGATATATTTGTGAAACTGCCAAATGGAGAAACTGTACAGGTTACACACATGGGAGAAGTCAAGCTACTTCCCAACCTGGTGCTGAAAAATGTTTTATATATTCCATCCTTTAACTTCAACATAATCTCTGCTAGTAAATTGATAAAGCAAAGTGGTTGCACTCTAGTTATGAAATCTGATTCTTGTGATATTCAGGGACTTCATGGGATGGTGGATGGTTTTGCTAAGGAAAATGATGGGTTGTACCTACTCAATCAACCTCCTGTTAAGAGAAAACACTGTGCTGAGATAAGTAGTCATTGTAATAATTTGACTCTTCATATGTGGCACAATAGATTGGGGCATTATCCCATAGATAAGATTCACACTTTGAATGGAATAAAATGTGTTCAGTTTCATAAACCTCAAAACTTTGCCTGTGATGTATGCCATTTTGCTAAACACTAGAAGTCTGTTTTTTCTGTCAGTAATAATAAGGCTGAAAACTGCTTTGATCTGATCCATATGGATGTGTGGGGTCCCTTTCCAGTGCCATCTCTGAGAGGGGAACACTATGTTGGTCCCAAAAAAGGTAAGGTGAAAGTCTAGAGGGGGGGGGGGGGGGGGTGAATAGACTTTCAAACTTTTTCGCACAGCACAACAATTGCTAAGCCAGAGATAAACCAAAACTCATAACTAGATTGTTAGAGTATGGTGCACAGCGGAATTAAATAAAGATAAAGTGTGTGTGAGATTGTGTGAGTAGTATATCTCGTGTAGAGCGAATATGTAAAGAGCAGTAAGTAAAGAAAACAGTAAAGAACACAAGACAATTATAGTGGTTCGCGAGGTGGTGTAATCCTCCTACTCCACTTGCTCTTCTCTCCAAGAGCAATTCACTATATCTACCACTCCTTGGTTCCAAGATACAATGAATTTCCGTGATCTAGTGCTTTGATCACAAAGCCCGCACTAATCACGCCCAGTGACACCACACTGCTGCTTCGGGTTTCACGTCGCCGCGCTACTATCCCAGGATTTCACGACTCCGCGTTACTTCCCCCCCCCCCCCCGTCTTCCACACTCTGGTAGAAACGTATCCCGTGATCTAGTGCTTTGATCACAAAGCCCGCACTAATCACGCCCAGTGCCACCGACACTGCTGCTTCGGATCTCAAAGCTCCGTGTGACAATCCAGGATTTCACAGCTCCGTGCTACTTTCCTCTCTTCTCTTGTTTTGCTCCAAAACAAGTGTTGTCTTGCTTCCAACTTCTGCGACTCTGTAGTTGATCTTCAATGATGCGCAGGTTTCTTTGATGAAGATAAACACTCTGGAAAGTTTTCTCTTGATAGCTCTGAGTGTATTCTCTCTTTGAATATATCAAGTAAAGCACTTGATATTTTTGCTCTGTTTTGCTCTGTTTAAGAACTCTCAGAATATTTTTCTTTTGAAGCTCTCTTAGTTCTTTTTCTTTTCTCACTTCTCACTTGAAGATTTTTGGTATGCTCTGTACCAAATGAGATTTTTGCTCTATGCTCTTTTAAGCTTTATTGCTCTATTCGTTCCCCTTGATGAATTCGTATTTTCTGCTCTCATGTTCGTGAGTTTCTCAACTGCTCTTCACTCCTTCTTCAAGTCTTCATATCTTCATCATTTTATAGCTGGTAATTAGCATCTGTCCATTGGAATGAGACGCTCTCATTTTTGAAATCTTGTATCTTTTTGTCACAGATCTTATCTTATCTTCTGCAAAGATGTCAGAAAGGATAAGCTAGCCGTTTGAGAGCTTGAACTCCATGCGAATGGTTTCCCGAACTTCATCTGATATTCCACTGGTTTAACGTTGAGTGGGAATATCTGGGTGTAGAAACGGCTTCTCTGATTAGCTCTGAAGTGGTCCTTGAATCTTTGGGATTTAAAAATATTCTTCAATTTAATCCCATACTAGTAAAACTAGTATTTTTTCTTGTGAGAATATTTTTAGTAAGTTCATCTTCATCTTCTTCATTCTCACGTCTGGGTGTTCTCAGACTTCAAACTGGTTGTGAACTTCCACCCAATTTGAATTTCTCCTTTGTAATTGGCTCCCAATTGACTTTGACTTGTAATTGGCTCCCAAACTTCTCCTGGTGCTTTCAATTGCTTCCCAATTTGAATTATTGACTTTGACTTCGAAATTGGCTCCCAGACTTCTCTTCTCAATTCAATTGCTCCTCAATGTCTACTTTTAATTGGTCCCCATTTTGAAATTGCATCCCATACTACAATCTCAATTGGCTCCCAATTTCAATTCTACATTGGCTCCCAACTTGAATTGATTCCCATGTGAAACTTGCTCCCAATTTCAATTGGTTTCAATTTCTCTGAAACTAGCTCCCAATTTCAATTGCTTCGAACTAGCTCCCAATTTCAATTGCTATGAAATCGGCATGAAATCGGCTCCCAATTTCAATTGCTATGAAATCGGCTCCCAATTCCTTTGAATTGGCTCCCCAGTGCAATTGCTTCTCAATTTCCACCAAGTGAAATTGTTTCCCAAATTCCACTTGTAATTGGCGTCCAAAGCCAAACTAGCGCCCAACTCCATCAGATTTAATTAGATTTGGCTTCTCAAATTTTACCTTGTAAAATTTTTGATGGTGAGATTCAAACTTGAGCTATTTCGCATAACATATCAAGCATCATCCACTTCGTCCGTACAACTATTGATTAAATTTCCAATCTTCTTTGATATACTCCTTTCTTTCCATAGATGCTTGATCTCCAAGTCAATTTCATGCATTCTTCCAATCTTAATTTTCTTCACTAAAATTCTTCTGGGATATTTCTTTGAGTAGCATTGACGTGAATATTGTATCATTCATCTTCTTCTTCAATTTGTCATTTTCTCCAGACAAATTCTTGATTTTAGGCTTTATATCTTCTTCTTCTATTTTCATGCATCTTCCTCAGTTTTTCTCTTTTCCAAAATAATTTCCCGATCATGGTCTAAGACTCTACTAGACCTAAGAAATAAAATTGGGGGATCTACAAATACATATTTGGCATATCAAAACCATTACACTTTATTCCTAACAATTTCCCCCCTTTTGATAATGCCAAAACCTATACTCAATCATTAGCTTTAAGTTGATCCATCTTTTGATTTTGTTCAACCAACTTTTCTCCAATTGTTTGACAAACAACATCACTTGATTCGGCCACTTTTGCAAATAGAGATGAAAATATGCCATCATCTTGATCATTCATCTGCACAAAGTTTTGAGGCGATCCGAATGGACTTCTATTCGGATCTGTGAGAACAACTGTATCAATAAGTTGCATCCCTTCTTCTTCAGGTGATTCGCCTTCTTGATTGAGATCACCAATTTCTTCTTCTAAGACTTCTGTTCTCGTGTAATTGTCTGCAAATAAATCTTCATTTTCTAGAACAGGGTCCATGGTAGACATGGTAGACTCGGTATGGTGTACTGGCAATGCACTGGATAAATTCTCTGTGATTTGTTGTCTACCTTCAGTAGCAACTTCTACTGCAACTTCAACTAGTATATCTCTTCTTCTTTCTTCTGACATTTGTTCTCTTACTTCTTCTCGTACTGACACTTCTCCTCTTAATTCTTTTCTTCTTTTATCCCTTTTGTAGCCATAATATATAATTTTATTTATTTATTTTTTTTGTGTATCTTTTTTGCTACGAAACTTATTCTTTTTATATACCATAGGGATTTTCATTTTGTAGGAGAGATAGAGAAAATAGAGATAGACAGAACCAGTAGCAAAAACATCCACATTTTTAGTTATCTCCTTCTTACAGAGAAGGAGAGGGAGAGAGAGATAACATAACACTTCTTCAACAGGCAGAGAAACCAGTACTCATGCAGTCTTCTGAGTCATAACCTCCTGGTGGTGAAGGAGCGTATCCTGGTCCTGAGTCACTACTGGACTCACTTTCCTCGAACACCGACCCGTTAGAGCTTGAAGATGAGTAGGTTTGATTGAAAAACCTAGTAAAGTCCACAGGGGGTCGGATGAATGGGTTGAGAGGCATCTACTGAGGAGGCGGTGGAGGAGCAGGAACTTCTTGTGGAAGAGGTGCAAGAACTGGCAGACTTGGTGGAAACTTTGGAAGAGGCTCTGGTGGAGGTGGAGGTTGATAGAGCCCATCGAAACCGAAACCAGGAGGGGGTAGAACCGGTCCAAACGTCAGCTGTTTTAAGTAGATGAGATATTCTGAATTGCTCATATTCAGAATGTCAGCATACATGTCAGGTTGAACAACCGGTGACAATTTCATAAATGGAGGCTTAGACCCTTCCACTTTCTCTTGTTCCTCAGACAGTTTCTTGTCACCAATGTCTTCTTCATATATGAAGCCTGGTTCACGCGGAGGTGATTCTGCTACTGCTTGAATTTTTGGTGACTCCTTTTCTTCAGATAATAAAATCAAAGGGTTGCTTGGGGTTTCTCCTTCTTTTCTCCTTGTGTCCGTTCGCGTTGCCCTTCGGGGTTGTTTGAGAACTTTCTCCCAAGTTCTCTGAGTTTGCTTCCTCATCTCGTTCTCCTGAGACTCGCTGGACACCATCTTGCTCCTTCAAAAGAGTTCAAACAAACAATCTTCCACACCAAATATTTCTCGGCTGGTCTCCAAATATATAGGGCGGTCAGGAAGACTATCGGTTCACTTGCCGATGATGAATTAAATTTGGTTTGCCGTCGTTTAGAGTCTACGGGATGTGACGGATAGCGGCAAGGCTTCTCATTGGTTGAGATGGCGGTGGATGGGAAGAGATTTGATGGGCAACGGTTTAGAGAGGAGAGTTTAATGAGGGGTTTAATTATTATGTGGGAGTCGATTGAGATTATTTAGCTGAGAGGAGGTATGGGTATGCCGATTTGAGAGAGAAAGTGAATCGGTTTGGAAAGATTTGATCTAGGAGAGGATTTTGGGGCGAGGTTTAGGTTGGGTAGAGGTTTAGAAAGGGTAGGAGTTTATGGGTGGAGGTTTGATGCCCAATTAAACTCTAATTTTCCTCCTTTGTCTCCTGATTTCCTTCTCAAAATCGTGTACCACAAACATAATAACACTCAAACATCTCGTCAGTAGCAAAAATTACTCCACAAATAATTAATCATACATACCAATTATATTAAACTCACACACGGCAATTTTCAATTAAAAACAAACAAATTTTGGAAACTAACAAAATTAACACATATATTCCAAATTAATAAATAGAAATAACTTTATATACTAAACAGATTCCAAAATATTTTAGAAACTAACAAATAAATTAACTTTCATTTTTCTAAAACATTTTATTGCAAATTATAACATATATTCACATATACACGAAACACATACAATAAACACATTATCTACATATATAATTAAATAAACATGGTAAATCACATTTTTAGACAAATTGTTCATGCAAACAAATTAATTAATTTTAAAAACATGAACAC